GAGGGGCTGAACTCAGACAGTGTGGCTCCAGAGTATGTTCTTGACCCTGGCTTTGCAGGGAATACATTAACACAGTTCATCCCACTAATTGTTTAAGGGAAAAGAACCATGTAATTATACCGCCAACTCTGAGTGAATTGACAGGTTTTAAGAAATTGACTTATCCATCAGAAACACAGCATGGAATAACCCTCTACGGATATAAAATGGGTGAATTAGGGTCATATGTACCAAAGATGTTCACAAGTAAGATGAGGAGGAAGAACGGAAACTTTCCAAAGAAAAGAGAGTATGATATATATTTATATGTATTTTAAAAATATGTACAATAATGAAACATGATTTCTAGAAATAACATATGTAAAACCGTAACTCAGAAATGTTTAGTAAATAAAACATGCAAGCCATTTTCATAACATTTTAGGGATTATACAATTGTAACAAAAGCACACATCGCTTATTTATACTGCACAAAAATACCAGTCATTGGATTTAGGGCCAACCCCAATTGACAATGAGCTGACCTCATCTTGATTTGACTGCATATGCAAACACCCTATTTCCAGGATTGGGACTCGAACATATCTCTTTGGGGGACACAATTCAATTCAATTTATCACATCACCCTATTTTGTAGAGCATTTTGTATAAAGACTTCTTCCTGATCTGCTTATACTGAATCTTCTACAAATATATGGATACATAAGGGATGAGATGGCAAAAAAGAATTCGGTCTTGAGGTCTACTGCACAATTAAATACTAATTGTTTATAACATTTTCTAGAAAGGTTAAATAAGAAAGTCTCATATATTTTTAAGTTAGCTTACTGAGATGAGTTGCCTCTGTAAGAAACATAATTATAAGTCCTCATTCAACACTTCAAATTAAAGGTTTTTCTTTTCTGAATAAAAAATTCAAACCATTTTTCTGCTTCAAAGATTTCAAGAAGTCTGGTACCCAATTATAGATGGCTTGATATCTTAGAACAGTTTGTATGACAGAATAGCATATGGTATAATTTCAGAGTGACACATCAAAGGTAATATTCTTTATGTAAATCCTGAAAATGAAGCAAAAGCACATTTCCTTAATGTACAGGAATAAGGAATGACAATGCCTCCTTATCTGACCATTTTCCAGCTGACACTCTATGTTGGTTCATAAAACTTGAAAGGTATTTTGTGCATTCGTGCACAGACAGCAGTTAGTTCTACAAGTATTTTCTGCAGCTTGATTGACTTTTGGGGAAACCTACTCAGTTGGCTCCGAGAAAGAGTGCAAGAGTTAGCTAGTGCTTGTTGTGTGAAATGATGGGCAGAAAACCCCGCGGAGGCAGCCCAGCAGGAAGGGGAGGGTGGCGGCATGAGGACGCAGGGACAGGACGATAACGGGATGCCCACACAGCCGACGACCAACTAGCTGGAGCTCTTTTTCACTATTCACAGAGTTCAAAGGCCAGGATCTAAAGCAGGATCACCAGGGTGAAACCGAAAAGGCAAATCATTGGAATTGGGACCTAAACAGAAGACTCTCGGGCTACATACCAGATTTTATTCTCCCACCATCAATTTCTAGAGTTTATCAGTCTTCGGTGAGTGGTTAAACCAGGATACATCAGAGTTACACGCATTACACTTAATGGTATATGCTCAATTTGCTAACCAGCTTATACTCTCAGAGTGAACTAACTCTTCTTTGTTTCCAATGTCCCAGGTCAAAGAACCTCTTTCAGGTGTTGGAGAGTCAAGCTCACCTCAGCCGCTCTCCTCTGAACTTACCAGACCGCTCCACTCCACGCCAGCGCCCAGACACTGTAAAGTAGTCAAGTTTGTCTCTGAATATTATTATGCCAACCTTATAAAACCATGCCCCAAATTTACCAAATTAATTTAGTCTTCTGATGGGAGGGTGCAACAGCGGTATTTTTATTCAATGGGAGTCTGACAGGAGCATTAAAATTTCCAAGTCCCATTACACTGTCACTGCTACACAGCATATCACTTTCTCTAAAGAACTAACTTCAAAATCCCAACACACTTCAGATCACATAGGGCCACCAGCTTGTTTTTTAATGATTTCTTCCAAATCTCTTAGCAGGATAGCTAAGAACCAGATGGTTATAAACCAGCAATTCTATTCTGCAGTGACTGAGTCAGCGAGAAATCTAAGTTGTTACAACCTCATTCACGTTGTCTTTTGTACTGAACAATCAATAAACAGAAAAGTCTCCCATTATCCCCACGGTAAATGGACTGCTCATAAAGGCGCTGGACTGACATCACTGGGAACTGAAGTATTATGTTTAGCCACAGACCACGTCACTGAGTGGCTGCAGTGACCTTTTTTCCCTAATGTCACACCCTAAATTTGACTTCTTAAATGCAATCAAATTGATTTCTCTCTTCCTACTGGATACATACCAGCTGTTATTCTGAATTATATCAACTATATTTCAACAACTTAAAGTCATATTTGACTAGGAACGGAACAGTCCTTAAAATCTATTAGTTGTTTCACTGGCTTACGTTTATTAACTTAACTTTAATACAACAAAGTCCTGTAAGCTGGAGTGCACACCTCAAGCACAGAACTGTCATGAGGGACCCTTCCTTCACTCTCAAGCAGAAGTGGAGCCCTTGCAAAATTAAATAATCCACATGGCTCCAAGGATTTTTTAATCAGGAAATAGGATTTTTTTATCAAATAGAAAAGACTTTTGGTGAAATAACACACACATTTTGTTATAATATTAATGAATAGCAACTGGACTTCATAGCAGGTTCTATTCACTCAAGTCCAAGAACTGATTCTCAGTCTAGTGTCCAAGGCGTTCACGCAGACGCAAGACCAGTTCATCTCTAACATTTACAGGTTCTCTTGCCGCAGGTGGGAGCCAACACAGGTTTTACAACTGCACATCTAACAAAAATGCTAATCAAAAAAGCTTAAATACATGCCCATCGCCTTTCTATGTGAATTCAAGGATGATTTTTGACTGCATCCTTTTTCGACTTATTTGTGGTAGGAAAGATTACATGAAGCCTGAGAAGTAAAAAACCATGGAAAATCCTTTGGGGGGAAAAATGCTTTCTTAAAATAATCAGTGATAAAATATAAGATGCAAATATATCTTACTGACTATATAAACAATTATGGGGAAAAGAAGCTATTTTAGAAAATAATGTTCCCTTAGAAACAAAGATACAGATCTTGGGAAGTACAATGTGAATAAACTGAAATGTGATTAACTGATGTCCAGGTGTTTCAGGTACAAAATAATAGGTAAAACTTTAAAAAAATTTAATGATAAATACATTAATATATTGGGATTTGGGTTTTACCTAAATAGTTTTCCTTTTTAATGTGGGGGAACTCATTCAATTCATGAATATTCCATTACAGATTTTGAAATGGGAAAACTATAAAAATAACTTCACTATATTACAGAATAAATTCAGTCCTTCAAATAATTATTTAGGAAATTAACCAGATTGTTCAGATTTTAAATATTACTTGCTCTCAATTATTTGGAGCTAACTTTTCAGGTTTTGTATACTGACAAAGACAGACATAGCTGAGCTCTTTCTTCCCTTTTCCTCTTTTCCTTAATGAAGGAAAGTGGAATCTATTACCCAACCTCTGGGTTTCCAATATCTATGCCATCTGCTCCTTTATTCACTAGGCATTAACTTGAAATTGAACATACTCAAAAAAAAAAAAAGAAAAGGGTTCTCTTTTCAAGGAATAGCAATAGGTTCCCTAAAACAACAGGGAAAATTGAAACATACAAACAATAGTGAAATTATCTTGTTTTGGAAAACCAAATTTCCCGCTGTCATTAGTTTTAATATGTGACATTATTTAAGAGCTCAGAGAAAAGTGAAGTGGTGAAGTTGTAAGACAGTGAACAAGAAGGCACGGATAGTTTTGGGTATTAATATGTGATACCAGCAAGGTTGGGACAAGTTCTGCTACCAAATGGGGATTTATATTACCCGTTAACAGACTTCTATGCAACCGCCAAGAAGTCATTTTTAAATGATGAAATGAGGTCAGATGACAAGTAAAGAAGAGAATGTAAAAGGAATACAGGCATTCAAGGAAAAAGGGACACTTTGATACATTCTAACTCAGTTTAGCAAAATTAAGTAAGATAAGTGTAGGTGAGGAATTGTGAGCAATTTATTTAGGCAAAGTGACATCAGTTTTAGAAAAATATAAGCTGGTATTAATCATACTTATAAACTAACTCTAAATACAGAGGCTTTACTTCCTTTTAAAGATGACTCAACAAAGCTTCTCCTAAACACTTAACTATTATTTTAAATTCAAACCCGCAGTGCTTTTTGCTTCTATCCATTACAAAATGAATACATCATTCCATTGAGCAAAATCTTTAAAAAGCTCCAATAAGCCAACCAGCATATTACACAGCACGGGGATTCCAAAATGAAAACCATTGAGAGTTCCAACTATCAGCTGCCTTGTATCTCAGTAATGTCAGAGCGCTTTATGAACCGGGAGGCTAACATTCAATCTGAAACGTGTTTAACTTGTAGCACTGAGAGTCCATGAAAGCAACCAACTGCTCCTAGGTCTGTTCTGAGCTGTCTGGGGACTGCGGCTGTGCAGTGCCACACTTCTGCGCGGCAGCATTATTACCGCCTTACCAACTGCCTACAGCTGCTCTCAGCAAGAACCAGAATACAAGTCACACGCTTGCCCTAACAACATCTCCCAGGCATTGTTTACTTAATTCTCCGAGTCTGCATGGAAACCTCGAGTCCTCAGACCACCTGGAAGCAAAATCCAAACACAGACAGATAACATGCACCCAAACATCTATAAGAAACGGACACGCTGAATTTCTTTAGTTTTCTCCAGCACATTCTCATCACAATAAGCCATCTTATTCAGTGCTGTATCTTAATCCTCATGGGCTATTGTCTCAGAAGCAGCTCAAGGTCTTCGAACTGGAGACAGGGCTATAATGGCTTACCTGACTCACAGGCAAATGTCTTTGACGTTTCATCATGAAAGATAATTGCCACTGCATGCTTCTTTGTCTCCCGAGGCAGTCTGGTTATGTTTTTGATGTTGTGCAGTTCAGTTACCTTGAAAGAAAAATATTCTTAACTCAGTGTGCAATACATGCTATATGCCAGGTGTTTAAGCAAAACGATCAGTTATTACTGCTTTAAGCCACTTTCCAATGGCTATTTACTGGTTTCTAGTGAACTGTAGCCAAAAGCCATACAGAACAAAATGTCTTCTGTTATGCCCTCAGTTTTGGCTATCGGTTGCTGAATTTTGAAACAGTCAAAATATTATGTAGACAAATAACTCTGTGTAAGAAAGGACTCGTGTTTTTATTAACAGTACATCTGCAAACAACAGGTGTGGCACATGGAAGATTCTCAATAAATTTTTGTTAAATATTGACTGCATTTAACACCTCCTCTCTCTCTTAACTCCTACCCATCATGCAAATTCCTGTTGTGAATACAGTCATGATGTAACTGACTCTTGTCAATCAGCAGACAAATGACTTTCAAATTCTGGAGTTTTTACATACAAGCAATGGACCTGCTTCCTAGAAAAATGCAGAGTGTTCACAGACCCGTATACTCCCGGCTCCCTCACCCTGTCCTTTCGCCAAGGCTCATTTGTGATTTATGGACCCAGGGTAACAACTCTTTACTCAGGTGGCAATGAATAAATTTTAATAAACGTGTATTTTAGCTGACGACTCTGTGGGTACACATTCCTCTGTTACAACTGGTGCATATTTTATTTTTCTCCACAGTCCACAGAAAAATGAGCAATGGTTTACTTCCTCAACTACTCCGCAAACACAACCTTGCAATAATAATGCTCTATGAGCTAATTTTAAAATTCACTTGTCAACCTGCTACGTGTCATTATTTCTTTTAATACAAAAGATATGACAGGTTCATTTTCATTTAGTTCAAATACTTAAAAAATTCTCTCGAGGTTTCTCCTTTGATCTACGCACCCTTGAGAAGTTGTGTTGTTTCATCTTCACATATTTCAGGGTTTTCTAGCTATCTGACTGTTACTGATTTCTAGTTTAATTCCACTATGATCCGAGAGCAGATACTGTATGATTTCCATCCTTTTAATCTGTTGTGTTCAGTGGCCCAGCATGTGGTGTACCTCGTTGAATGTGCCACATGAGAAGCATGTGTGTTCGCTGCTGTCTGATGACCTGTCTGTAGATGCCCGCTACAGCCAGTTCGTTAACAGTGCTGACTTCAACCACGTCCTTCCTGATCTTCTGCCTGTGGGATCTGTCCATTTCTGAGGGCGGTGCAGAAGACTCTTAACTACGATAGTTGATGTATCTATTTCTCCTTGCAATTCTATCAGTTTCTGCCTCAAGTTGTTCTGCTGCTCTGCTGTTAGGTGCACCCACATTAAGGACTATGTCTTCCTGTAGGACCGACCAATTTATCGGTATGTAACGCCCGGTAACGTCCCTTGCTTTGAAGTCTGCTTTGTCGGAGATTAGTATAGCTGCTCTGCTTTCTTTTAGTGTCATTTCATCAGGGTATTTTGTTATTTCGTTATTTAACAGTATAGTTTTCTATATCCACTTACTTTTAATCTACAGCTGTCTCTATGTTTAAGATGGGTTTCTTTTTGACAGCGTATAGTTGTGTCTTGTTTGATTCACTCTGACAATTCTTGTCTTTTAACTGGTGCATTTAAACCAATGATGTTCAAAGTTGAGTATTCATACAGTTGGACTTACATCTAGCATATTTGTTACTATTTCTTGCCCTTGGTTTTGTTCCTATTTTGTCTTCCACTCTTTTTCTGTCTTTTGTGATTCTGTGTTTTATGATTCCATTTTTCTTCTTTCTAGTGTATCAACTATACTTCTTTTTAATTTTTTAATCAACTTTTTTATCAACTTTAATAATCAACTTTTATTAAGATTATGAAATCCTAGAGCATTTCAATAATACATATCAATTACTGCATCATTTAACAATTCAGTATATATTTCTGAAATACTGATTTTTCATATGGCTATAAAGGCACAAAATACTAAAGTTTAATAATAAAGCACTAAAATAATTAAACATGAAATTAGCAGAGTTTAATTAAAGGAAAAATTAGTTGAAAATAATTCAGGTCTAAGTGAGGAAGTCCCATGATCATTCAAAATACTGAGGTCTAGTAAGTGATAGAAATGAAGCCTAAATATAGGCACACTTAAATGATGACTTGCTCACTGGCACTATTTAACTTTTATTTCAAGGAGTAATTCCCGAGGAATTCATGGTGAGAGAATCAGAGAGACCAAAGATGAAACACATTTACTTTTTTCTGTAGGATTTCATAAGGTAGTTGGGTGATAAGATTGCAAAGAGCAGTATTAAACCCAATAAGAGAATTAAAAACAGAGCCAAACAGCACAGAGGAAGAAGGTCTGTACTTCTGCAACCAACCTGTGGACTGGCCACCTGCACCAGGCCAGGTGACATGGCAACTGGATTTCTAAAGCATATGTTGAAAAAATATATAGACAGCTTCCAAACCTTTCTCTCCTGTCCTGCTTTGTTCATGCAGGTTGTATCTATTAATGATCACCATAAGAAGTATTAGTACTTATAAATTATTCAATATTCATTTATTAATGTGTTTAAGATAATAATAAACTCATTTTGTAACACAAATAAAATTTTAATATAAAAATTCCTTAAATAAAGAGTGGCAATGCTTTTACATTTCTGCAAAACTCTTTAACGTCTGGCTTAATAGAAGACAGCTTAATATTCATTTCTGCTTTGGAATTCTATCTATTGTGATATATGGTTTTGATTAAGTATATCCATAAAGTAAGGTCTCATACAGGTATGAGGTTGTACAAGGGGAGAATAACTTAAGAGTATTTTCAGACAACTGCAGACATTTTTTGATTCTATTTCCAAACAGACAATCTTTTAAAGGTCATTACCATGGGGAGTCTGGCATCACGTCATACACTTTTTACACTCCGTTGCATTAAAATCCGTATGTCTCCTTTCAACTTTGACTGATTATGGGTGAAACACTGGTTTACTGAGTTATGAAGATCTTACAAATACTGACATATTTCATTACCAATATAAAAAATATTCATTAACATCACCCTTGACGTCCAGTAAAAAAAAAATCTGTTTTGAGAAGCTAACAAGCTCAAGAATGCAGACACAAGATTCCCAAATTTTAATTTTCACTTGAAAACTTAAATTTCAGCATTACTAATATATATTGTCAATTGTTTTTCTTGAAAACTGGCTCATTTAATTCATTTTTGAGAAAATGAGAAATGTTCAAGTCTGAATGCCCATAGTTTGTCAATCAGATTTTCATTAAAATAAGTGCCCTTTGAAAAAATTAGCCATTTTGCTTGTAACATTAACAATCACACAAGTGCTTCTCCTAGAGATAATCACCGTTTGTCAGTATATAGCTGATGTGTTTTATGAGTTCTTATTTTTTTTTTACATACAGTATTAAAAAGATATACTTAAGGGTCTCGATTTTTTTATATTAATAATTTTCTTGTTTCATCAAGGTTGTTTCTAAGTAAAATGAAAATAAAATGGGCATATGTTTTGCAGGTTTATTTGCTTACTTGGGTGGGTTGATGGTAAAGAATACAATGCTTTAGTCCCATTCATTTTTGCTGTTTTGCTTATGCTTTTGGTGTCATATCTAAAAAAATCACTGCCCAGACCAACGTCAAGTAGCTTTCTCCCCCATGTTTGCTTCTAGGAGTTTTATTATATCAGATCTTCCATCTATGTCTTTAATCCATTTTGAGTTGATTTTTGTGTATGGCCTAAGAGAACAGTCTAATTTCATTCTTTTGCATCGCAGTACACAGTTTTCCCAGCAACATTTATTGAAGAGACTATCCCTTTCCCACTGTGTGTTTCTGGCCCTTTTGTTAGAAATTAGTTGATGATATACACTTGGGTTTATTTCTGAGCGCTCTATTCTGTTCCTTTGGTATACCTGTCTGTTTCTTTCTTGTTAATCTTAGTAGTAATTCTTATCAATCCTGACATTTTACTAATCTCTTATGGTGGTTTTAATTAAGTCAGAATTTGGATTTTTGAGAACTGAACAGTACATTTTAGAAGCTAGTATAATAAAACTCACTTTATTAGGATAAAGAATATTGATTTTTCAGTAAGAGAAAAGGTGGAAATTTTACTTAATTTTTAAATTACTACATCTCAATCTCTTTTGAAAGCTTGAACCCTAAGCTTTCATAACAGTAATTTAAATATTGGTTCTACCCTACACATTGTATATGTTTCAGTATTTTGGTCATAACATTTGCATAGAAATTTTATAATTGCTTTCTTCCAATAAAATTTATACCAATTTTCTAACAGCTGCTTCCTTATATTTGTCTCCTGTCACTGAAAAATATGAATGTGTACCACTGAAAAAAAAATCAATATAATTCATTCTTCAAGCTCCTTGTGACAGATATTATGTGCTCTGATATCGACCTCCCACGTTTACTATTTGACAATCCCAATACGTTCATAATCAGTAATTACAAGTTTAGTCTTTTAACTCTTTGAAAGACTTAAGGTCTCTCGAATATTAAACTGCATTATGAAATGCATCATCTGGAAAAAGTAATGTGGATAAAATTACATCAAGTTAGAATTAACTGTAATAGTCACTGCTGGCTGGCTACTCAGCATCCAGTTCCGGCTCCTTCATTTTTAACAGAATATGATTTGGTTCAGTTGTTCACCCCTACACCATGCAGCCCCAGTGCCCTGGCAGGCCTCTCTCACCCCTAGTGGCATCGTAGAACTTGTTATTCCCAGGGTAAGAGTCTCCTTGCTCGGGATTAGCTTAAGAAAGAGAAGATGACCCAAAATACAACCAGTGAGCTGTGAACAGAAGTCTTCTGGTGGCCTCTGATCAGTGTTTTCTGATCTGACTGTAGCCTCCAGATAGAACTAGCCCCCTTACTCAGGGAATGGTGTCCAGTGTGGACATCATACTTCGGAGATGCTACAGCTATCATTCTACTGGACCGAAGATGACAGCAACCCTGAGGATGGCAGAG